CTGCTTTGGTGTAATAACTATATAGCCAAGATAACTATGTAGCCAAGCTCTCTGGTATACCTTGTAACTGTAACATCTGTACATTCATTGATTGTACAGTGTGCAAGAACTGACTTGTGTGAAAGCTGGAGAAACCAGCTTGTTTAAGGTCATGATAGGTGCTGTTGTGTTTTGAAAGTTGCTCAGGCATTTCTGGTGTACGTAATGAGGACTCCAGATTCTTTGAAACTCTAAGAGAATATTGCTACTTTCTGTCTAGAGGTTTGGACATACGTGGGACATATCCATCATGTGTTTCTTTTTGTTCCCAATACTGTGCTTTATTCAGAAGACAAGGCAGTAAGCTCTGTGTTACTGCTCGCAGCCCTCAACTCCTTAAATCGGGGTCAATGATGGGTTAAGATAGAAGGAGTAAGGTGCTTATGGAGGCCAGGTCAGAGCATTAGCTCTCACTATTGACCATTTCAGAGTCCAGAGGGCTTAGTGCTAAGATGATAAAAATCTGTAAGCTGTAGCTCCAGGGAAAGGAGCCAGGCAGAGTGCTACTCTACACACCTGACTGCAGCATCCCAGAAGCCAGTGAGATAGCAGGAGATGACAGAGGCAGCCAGGGCTTTGGTGAGGTGGAGCTGTGCACAGTCTGCAGAGCAGCAGCCTCACAGCAATAGACTGGACCATGGAGGGGGCTGGGGGCTGATTGTTCACTTGCTTGTGCACTTTCCTGCTGTTTAGAGGTAGTGGTCCTGCTGCACAGTATCATCCTGACTGGTCAAAGCAGGAAGCAGAGAACCTGCCTCCTGTGCTGTATATGGGGGGATCCAGCTTGCATGATTATTTCTGAAGGGAAGATCTGCTGCCTAGTAACACCAGTGTGGCAGAGGCTGTCTCCACTGGGCCATTTTCCTAGCGGGTATAAAAGGAAGGCTGTAGTATAGGTTACAAATTACTCACTAGAAAATGCCTGAATCTCTAGCAGTTTTAACCTGGATTAGTTGGTCTTGTGGTTTTCTTCTTTTCTGGACGTACTGCTCGGTACAGAACACTTTATCAGCAGGAGGATCCAGTGCAGTAGCAAGTCCTGGCTCCAGTCTGCACACCTGCATTTCTATGGCTCACACTTGTTGCTCTTGGCTGGATTCTGCTATGGGTTGCTATCAGGGTTCTCCCTAGATGAGGAATGCCTTCTTTCTTCCAGAGTCTGTCTTGCATTAAATTGCTTTGGGTGGGAATGTGGTATGCTGTACTTCCCAACATGCGGCCCTGTCATACAAACCAGCCTCTGCATCTCCTTTTCTCCTCTATAGATGCAGTCACAAATTTGTTTTGTAAAGTGAAAGTGGAGAGGGTTGTTCCCACAGAATCATTCAACAAAAATATATATATATATATATATAGGTGTATAAAAACTAATCACTCATCAAACTTCAGCAGGTGCTTCAGATTTGAGAAAATTGAACTCCAGCTGAATATGATTAGGTGATACTCCATGATCATTTCCCAGGATTATAGGCTTCTCTGCTGATGCTTATGAAGATTGGTGCTTCAATATATATAGATATCTATGTAGATATAACATAGGTGCACAGATTGCATACAGTAAAAGCATCAGGGTGTATTTTTGGTGCATTTCCTGAGTTACATGAAGTGTTTTTTGTGTGCATTGATATATGCCTGTATTCACCACTCAGACTAACTGCCTACCAGGGAGCGGCGTTTTCTCTGGTGTACCACAGAACTTTGGCGTCATTCCTCTGTATGTCCCAGAGCTAGCTTGTCATCAGCAATCAGCTGCTCAGGAGCTGCTTTGAACAGCAGGAAGGAAAGATTTTCTTGCCTATAGTGAAAGGGAGAAACTAATCACCTTCTTAGTGCAAAATGAGTCTAATCGTGAAGGGCTGCATCTCAGTGGGATGTAATTTTTACTTCTTTGTGAATGCTTGAAAGTGACTTCTACAGAAACCAGTTAAACTCCTTTCTTCTTCTAAGAGAAAGGCTAAAACTCAGTTTGCCTACAGATTATTTGATGATAACATCTAGAACAGAGAGCGTTATGCCTTTTCTAACTCTGCAGACTGTAGCTTGGACCCCTAATAGGACTGTACCACTGCAAAGACTTCAGTTCAATCATTTCATATTTCACAAGCTTACAGCTTAATCATATTGTTCTTTCCTTTTCTGATATCTGCTATATTTGTGTTTTGCATACTATTGGATGTTCAGAGTGGAGAAGACAATATTTTTCTTGTCCCATTATTTCTAGAGCTTAACATAAAATTAATGCTTCAGCATACTGAGTTGACTGTACTTTACACTTCCTCTGGAATTGAGGTCACTAGACAAAATCTAATGCATGCGTTTTCTTCCAATGAGCAGAAAGGTTTTGCCAATAAGTCAGATTCAAAAGGCTTCAAGACTTTCTCTGTGTTCCTTTCCGTTAGTAATTTCTTTAAAACTGAATAAGTTAAATACTGTAAGGCTGTCATCTTTGGAGTGGGGAGAGCTTTCTGCATTGCTTTTAAGTCAGGTTCCTGAACAAACTTCACAAGGGCAATCCAAACATTCGTGGTGAAATAATTTAAGGAGTGGTATACTTTGCTTTAGAGTTAGGAAAGAGAAATAGTAGTATGACAACACCTTGCTATCACATCACCAAGAATGAATCTTAGGAAACTAGGCTGTCTTTCCCTTCTTGCTCTGAAAACAAAATATCTTAATAAAAGTGACGTGCTTAGTTCGGAGTCTGAGATTTCACCGGTGCTTAGTATTACAACTGCTCTTTAGTATCTTTAGGTAGTGATTCAGTAAACAGTTGCTTAAAAGCCTGATTAGATCTTGTAAGAGCTAATTGACAACCTCCTGTGAGCTGCGATTGTGAAGCTGCTTTTTCTTGCCACACATTTGAGGAAGTAAATGTTATAAATGTCTTTTAATTAGAACTACAGCCATATATAGAGAGATTTATATATATAATTTTTGTGCTCTAATTTCACTAATAATTCTGTTGTGATGTACTTTTGTAGAGTTCAAATGAAAGAATGGCTGCAAACATCAAAGACCAGTTGTTTTTGCCTTTTAGTTCATTTCTTTCATTCATTTGCCTTGCACACCTACCTAATAAATTGGGAATTGCTGTTGAGGGGAACGTGGTACAGGCTTCACATCTTTGTGAACAGCACCACTCTCCTGTTCCATTGGAGAACTTTTACTGCTTCTAGACACGTTTATAGGATTTTAACTCCATATTAAAGCTGTTGATTGTCAGAGGAGTAAGAACTTCATTAGTTATTTCTGCTTGTTGGCCAAACCCTTTTCTAGAGCATGCAGTTCAGATCTTAAGCAGAGCCTTCACACTTTTTTTGGTACCTTGTTCATCTCCAGCTGGCTCAGATATTCCCAATAGCCCAACCACCTTCTCATCTCTCTTGTTTGCTTGGCATTGCGTGGTGAGAGAGTACTGCTTGTAGTTGTGGGGGTGATGGGGAGAGCTGGAATTTGTAAAGGTTAGTTGTAGGGGTCTTACAGAAAAATGTTGGAGTGGTCTTAGCAGGGTGATTATAAATCCTATAGCTTGGATCCATAAGCAGGAGGAGGAGGTTTGTTGAAGTTGAATGGATATGGCAGGGGGTATCTCATTCTGAATATTTCAGCCTATGGGACCAAAGTGACTTCCTATCTTTTTGGTTGAAATAATGGCAGGTAGGATAGATATTAAATGATACTAGAATAGCCAGGGCTTCTAAGTGTAGTCACTGATAGGATTCAGTACTTTCTGCTGGTGAGCCATGATAAGTGGATGGAGAGATCTACAAAAGAGCTGTTGATAAGAATCTGTTCTACTGAAAATAGAACAAGATGTAAATGACTCCAGATCTGGCTATCACTGGATATAAGCTGTATCTCTTGTCCTTTTGGACTGACCCATTCAGAGGCAGCCCCATGTGAGAAAAGATTCACCAGAGGTCCCCAGAGACCTCAGGGTTTCAGTACACCTGCTTTTAACCATAATGCGGTACTACAAAGAGAGGATTAAGTAATTAATGAGATGCCTACATGCATGTAGGAATTTAAATATAAAATTGACTGTATTTATTAAAGTATACCTGGACTAATGTTTATGAAGACTGTTTCAGGTGTGTTGAGCAGTAACATCAAATAATAAAATGAAGTCCATGGATGTGTCCATCAATAAAACCTTAATCTTAGTCTTTACATAGCTTTAAAAGAGTTTCAGGGTATCATATTGTGTAAATGAGTTAATAAGGCTGCCTTGGAACTAAATCTTTTCTGGTAGGCAGCAAATACTGCTCTCTAGCATTTTAAGTGGCTGTTTAAGGTTGTATTCTTTTGATGCTGCTTTTTTCTGCATATAATTTCTCTTCCGTGAAAGGACTTTTTGAACTAACAGAGCAATTGGCCCCAGGGAAGAAAAGGAAGCTCATATGGTTAAATGAATGGTAGCATCTCGCAAATTGTATTAATTGGAAATAGCTTTTTTAAAATGCTCATTGCTTAAAAGTCTAGCAGAATCACATCTATTTAATTGCTTCTGTTCCATACAAAGACTGAAGCTGCGGTCTGTGAAGAAGAAATGTCACAGCTGGGACAGGCGTGCTGCTTATGGGCTGTCTTCAGATGAGCATCAAGTGCTGGTGAACAGTCTGGATAACCTGAAGAGGAAATAATTGTTCTGAAGGAACCAGAAGACTTAAGGCTGATTCCCTGCCAGTCTTACTTAACTAGCAGTGCCTAGAGCTGTATCTAGTTCCTGCTAGAACTGGGAAAAGTAGAAAAGGGTAGTATGGTGAAGGAAACTGATACTGAATACCATTTTCAGTTAATGCTTCTAAAGGACGGCTTTCAAGACGTTTATTCTCATACCTCATGTGATAGAGAAATAAATGCAAAAAAAAACCAAAACAACTGACAAGAATTTGAATGAGTTTATCAGCATTAAAAAGTGGAATGTTATCCCTGTGTTTTTTTTTTTTTTTTTTTTGCAGATTGTGTGGTAGCTGAAATTGAGAGAAAGATTACAGAAGCTTTTGAGGCATTTGATCACGAAGGAAGTGAAACTGTGGATGTCAGGTTTGTAAATATCTTCACATAGAGATATTACAGGCTGTAGTACAGAGATAAGTAACTCTCCCAACTTGCATCTGCCTTACCAGAAAATGTAATTTAAACAGTCCTTTTGACACTGATCAGACAAGTATTTCTTTGTTGGTTTAATAAACATTTTGCATTGTTCAGTGGTTGGAGGTTGAGACTCCCTTAAGAAAGGGGTGCAAGACTGGTGGGGCCAAGAAGCAAGAAGAGGGTGAATCCAGTTAGGAAGTCTAAGGCTAGCAGTTACTGCTAGCAAATCTCTGCTCTAATAGCTCATTTGGCTCTATGTCCTGGGTACTGAATGGATACCTTCACTTTCAAAATAATGTCAGCACATCAAGGAGTGTCCCTGCTGGTCTCTGCCATGATTACATGCTCTCAGTAGGTCATCCCTACTTCAGTGCAGTGCACACATCCCTCCTTCTCTGGGGTACTGCGACATGTGGCTATTGCTCTCATGAGGAAGTGTTTTAGGAAGCTCACGTGTAGGTGTATTATATAACCATACAATAACAGTATGTAACAATGAACATAAGGATGAACACAGTTGTACTAAGAGTCCATGTAGTCAAGTATCTTCATCTGAGCTAGTAGTTAGTTGGGGAAGGAATAAGGAATTGAGCAAATACACAGTATTTCTTCTTTACTGTATATGTGTCACGTGGATTTGAGTGACTCCTGATGTTGTACTTTATGTTAGATAGTGAATCATTGTTCTCTATTTATCTTCTGAACACCGTTGATGATTTCATAGCTCTCTATCAAATCCCTCCTCCATCATTGAAGTTCGATGCTGGAGAGTCTAGATATGTTTAATTTTTAATAAGAAACTGTTCCATTACTCTAGTCATTCATTTTTGTGATGCTTCTTAAAGGGCTGTCTCTTTTTTTGGCATGACCAGAACTGGGGAACTGGGATGGCCAAGAGAGTCAGGAACTGTACCTGCTAAGGCCTGCAGTGTTGTGGAAATAGAAACAAAATACACATTTCAGGGAGTAAAAAGGTCATGGACTGTTAGACTCATCAAGGCATAACAGGATACACAATACATAGCTAATGGATGTCAAATTTAAAAGTTCTCAATGTTAATAGTGATATATTTCAAGTTTGAATATTTGACAATGCTACTTCAATTTCATTTTAACATAAATATTCATAACATGTAACAACATTACTTTTGTCATAAAAAATTAAACATGCTTATGTCTCCTTGAATTTTTACAAGCTGTTGTCATTGAAGATTACCAAAGGAATTCTGCATATTTCAAACTACTGTTTTCACAAGAATTTCACCAGATCTTTTAATTATAATTCGATTAGTTAAACTCTACAAAGGAGGTGCAGAGCTGATGAAATTTTTTTGTCACTAGACAGGATGTGTGAGGAACTCACATGTGAAATGACTTTTCAGTTTTAGTTGGTAGGGGAATTTCAGGACAAGTCTCCACATTTGGTTCAATTCTGTTCCATCCTCCCTCAAGTTTTTTTTTTTTTTTTAAAGATTATTTCCTTAAACCTATTGGTTTATCTCCATCCTCAAGGAGGTGCTCATTGCTGGAGCTGCTCTGGTGTCCCGTCAGCTGCCTGCTCCTGGCTGGATTGGTGGCACCAAGGAACCCCTGACCCTCACTGTACCATGTCATACTTGTTTATTTGTTTGTAATTTACATCTGCAGTCTTGTCTGCATAGGTGTAAAGTTTCTACGCTCTGCAGTGGCTATAGAGCTTGAGAAAAGTGTTACAACAATTAAATGATTCAAATATAATTTTCTTTTTAATGTTTTCATTCAGCCAGTAAGTTGTAACATGTGAAAAGGGACATTCAAAGTCTATGTAACACTGTAAATGTACTATTTCACAACTAATTTTAATCAAAGAACAGTTATGACAGTGAAAAACAACTTATTACCTTGTTTATTGCCTTATGTTTTTATTGCAGGGCTGTGTCACAGTAGTGTGACTATTAATGTCTGATTATCTTATATCAGAAGGTGGCAGCACAGCACAATTCTTAGCCTTGATTGTAGAAGTATGAGTGTTATTTCCTGAGATATTAGGTATATGTGAAGAATATGCAAAGCTACACTGCTTTGACAGAATAACACGAGTGCTGGGTAACTCGTAATGCAAATACAAGAATTAGTAAGTAATCAAGCTTGAGGAGGATAGTGTTTCATTTCTGCTTAGAATATATCCTATGTCAGTGGCATCTGTGATTTTGCAAATGTTGCCACTGAGAGTATGACATCTAAGATGAAAACCATGACACAAAATTGTCATTGTGTCTGATCTACAAAACCTATATGAACATAAGCTAATTTGAACTGTATTTTTGTATGTTGGGAACTACACAGCAGAAACTGAAGCTGCTGAACTAAATGACAGTCAGGAGGAAACTAGAATTATCTATCTGTGCAGCAGGAACGCAGCAGGAACACAGCGGGAACACAAGGTCACCTCACTTTTGTAATTGTCTTCTGAAGTTAGAATTTGTATCTTTATAGCATTTAATTAAACCTATGTTTTTGTGACCTTTCATCTCAATAGACTTCAAAGTGTTTTAACTATGCGAATGTAGGCTTTATTGCAGTTAAGCCTAATAATTACAGGAGATCAATTGAAAATTATCTTGCACACAGTAATGAACACAAGAGTAATAAGGAATTTTTGGGGAAACTGACAGGTATAATTATACCCTTCCAAAAGCTGCAAGATATGTAACACCTGTAAAAGTAGGCATTGCTTTCTGAGGCATTATCTTAAAAGTCATATAGGTGTGCTTATGCATGCAGGTTACTCATACATGCATGCTCCTGTATGCTCGTTCTGAACTGATAGCTATATTTGCCACAGCCACTCTTGTTTTGCAGAATCACTGACACAGATGTTTTACTTTCTTTCAGAGAGATTGGTTCAATTGTCAGGTCACTTGGTTGCTTCCCGACTGAGGCGGAGCTACATGAACTGCTTGCAAAGGTAAAGGATTTACATATTTTCTTTTATCTTGTCTTGAACTTGCACAAGTTTGACCCTTCTGCCTTGCTGTATGGAGAGCTGAGTTCTTTTCCACAGGTGAGAAGAGAAATTGCCATATGTCATGGAAGTGAACTAGGCAGTCTCTCAGGTTGCTGTGAAACAAACCTTTATGCTGTTGAGAGAACAACACTGATGGCTTAAATTGGGGATTTTGACTGTCATTTACTACAGAAGGCCACTGTGACACTGAGCCATGGTGGAGGGCTGTCTGTAGAAAATGGAGGGATAGAATGTTTTTGGCTGTTGAAAAAGATTGCCTTAAACTGCAATTAGATTGGATATCCAAACCCTAACTATCTACCTGCTCTGGACATGCCATAGACAAATTCTGGATGACTAAATAATAAAAATTATTCTTGAACAGGTATTAAAATTATACATAAAAATCCAAAAATATGCAGAGAAAAGACATGGCAGTTTGTCTCCAACAGATTCTGTTACCACTGCATCTTATAGCCAGCCTGCTCAATTTTCAGTCCTGAGGCCTATCCCAGTCTTGAGATTTCTCAGTTAGGTAGTCTTTTCTTTCTTGATTACTTAAGTCTGCAAGTCAGAATTCAAACATAAAGACTCTCAGAGGTCCTCCTGATGATGTGGAGAGATAAGGAACTTCTGCTGTCTTTCTCTACAGTTTTTCACCTGTGCTGCAATTTTTATCTCCTCAACATATGCTTTCCATATGTAATGGAAAGGCTGGAGTTATGGTGCCATGGCAGGGTGGGGTTAATGCATGGGGCGAAGTAGTGGGGAAAAAGAATTTGCATAGTTTTTGAAAAGTAGTATACCTTAAAGAGTGGGCAGTTCTGGAGCTGAGAAGTGGGAGAGGAATCTTTTCTTTTTTTTTTCCATGTATACACTAGTGTCATGGTTTAACCCATCAGGCAGCTAAGCACCACACAACTGTCCAGTGGGATGTGGGAGAGAATAATAAAAAAGTAGAACTTGTGGGTTGAGATTAAAAACTAATACAGAAAAAGAAGGGAAAAATAATAATGATGATGATAATAACTATCAATATTTACTAAACAGGTAATGCACAGTCAGTTGCTCACCACTAACCGACTGATGCCCAGCCAGTCCCCAGCTAGACTCTGCTCCTCTGGCCAACTTCCCCACTTTTATTGTTCAGCATGATATCATATGATATGGAATATCCCTTTGGCCAGTTTAGGTCTGCTGTCCTTATTCTGTCCCTTCACAGCTCCTTGTACATCCAAAGCCCTATCATTGAAGAAGCTGCAACATACTTGGCTATGTGCAGTACTGCTCAGCAGCAAGTGCAACATTGGTGTGTTATCAACTTTCTTTTTCTCCTAAAGACAAAACGTGGCATCAAATTCACTCTAGTCCAGGTAAAACCAGGACAGTCAGGGTGCTGAGAGTCTCTCTCTTTTCTTTGTATGATTATGTGCCTGTCTCTCATCAGTACTTGCTCCATCTCTTGTAGATCAGAATTTAACGAGAGAAACCTTGTGCAAAGTCTTAGGTCTAGCAGTGCTAACTGCTTCAGATGATGAAGTGCAAGTAACAATTGTAGGGGAAAGATCTTTTAATGTGATGCTGCATTCTGTCTGCTGTCATTCTCTACTGTCAGTAGTAGATTATTCTAGCTTCCACTGACAAACAAGATAAAATGGAAAGATTATGATGCTTAGTAAAGATATTTTTTACTGTCCAACAGATTTTTTTGATTACAGTAAATAGGCAATATAATTGACTCACGATACAGATTTAAGAAGGAGATGCTTTGACATAGAATTACAGAATCTTAGCTTTAGAGCTGAAGGGAACCTTTGGTCATCTAGTCCAACTCTTCTGCAGTGAACATCTCCCCTCCAGACCAGAGGAACCTGGACAGTTAAAGTCCTGCCTCTTCCTACCAACTTTTTTCCCCCCTCTGTTTTTAGCATAATTGAAAATTTGAGATAAGTAATGTAACAAAGTACAGTGTAATGCAGCTATGAGATGGGAAGTTCTGTGATTCTGTGATTGCATCTCAAGAATTGTAGGGGTTGGAAGGGACTTCCAGAGATCGAGTCCAACCCCCCTGCCAAAGCAGGTCTTGACCTATACCAGGTCGCACAGGTAGGCATCCAGGCAGGTCTTGAACATCTCCAGAGAAGGAGACTCCGCCACCTCCCTGGGCAGCCTGTTCCAGTGCTCCGTCACCTCACTGTAAAGAAGTTCCTGCGCACATTTGTGACATATGATATATGCAATTTGTTTGTTTGTATGAGTAGGGAATTAAGGTTTTCAAGTGTTCATAAATGAAACCCTGATATAGGTTCAGTACCAGAAGAAGACTGCCTTGTGGAATCCTCAGTGTATTATGCTAATCACTAATATCAAGTTATCTAAATTTATGTGAGGTACAATAAGGTACAATTACCATTGACTACGGTAATACCACTTAATCTAGATAAAGTAAAAATTTTTTCTGGTGGTCAGTTTCTCATCAAACTATTTCTCCAATATTTTTGCCCTTTTTAAGCTGCGGATTATTTCTGTTTTTCACTACCTCTCTGCAACTCCTGAAAGGAGGTTGTATTCAGATGGGTGTCAGCCTCTTCTCCCAGGTAACAGCAATAGGAGGAGAGTGATTGGCCTCATGCTGTGCCAGAGGAGGTTCAGGTTGGATATTAAGAAGAATTTTTTTTTCTCAGAAAGTCTGATGAGGAATTGGAACAATTTGCCCAGGGAGGTGGTGGAGATATGAAACAGAATGAATGCTACAGTACATCTGTTATAGGAGCTGTGGATGTAACCAAAGAAGGGAACAGAGCAACATCCATGGAGCTTGAACAAGTACTGTTATTTTAACAGCCACTGGGGGGGGAGAGGGGAAGTAAATCTAGGTACTTATAGACTTGGGTAAAATTCATACATTCAGTTTACTCTCACATCTACTTAATATTAGAAATAGGATTAATTTTAGCAGTTGAGGACTTTGCTAGGCCTGTACAGCCACTGGAATGGCAGCTATTCTAGAAGGTCAGAGGGAGTTGAGGTTTCTTACTACCTCAAAGGGCTAGGTCTGTTGTCAGGAAGTTCTTCATAAACTGCATTCTGGATGCAAAGTACAAACAGCACACCAAAAAGAGTCAAATCTGGATGACATTTGTCATATGTTATATATAGCTATTATATTTCATTTTTGATCTGGGAACTGTTGAACTAATACAAGTTGAAGCACAGATGTTCCCTAAAACATTCTGTGTACAGATAGCTCTCAAAGTTGTGATGCAGATCTACATTTAAGCAACTTAATGATTTAGACAACACCCTACTCTCTGACCCAGCTCCCAGGAGGAAGGTTTATAGCATTAGATCTCCCTGGCCCAGTTAGACATTTCAAATCAGTGCCTATTTGAGTCTTCTTTCAACCTGAGCTGTGTCTGTAAAGAGCCTGGCAGGATGTGACTGTGAGACTACAATTCAAGCATCCAGTTTCAACACAGAAGCAAACTGGCTCCATTAAGAGCTCTGTTTGGAGATAAAACTTTGAACTTTTAGGGAGAAGATGCATTCAAGTTGTAGGGAGCAGTCTTTTACCATGTAATGCCATCAGAATGCTACTAGAAGTCCATGATGTTTTGGGACTAATCTGTTAATTTATTTGAGAGGCAAAGGGAAGCTTTTCTTCTAGGCGACTGTGAGACACGCTCCCCCCCGCCTCAGGATGTGATGCAGCAGGACCTCCCCAGCTCTATGATTGATGTGTGGCACATGCTTTAGGGGTGTAGACGAAGCACATAAGGTATATAAGCTAGGGTTCACGTGTAATAAATGCCATTTTGCTGTCCATCATATTGGTGTATACGTGCAGTTATTTGGTCCTGACCTGGTTAGGGTTAGTAGCATAGGAGGCAATGCAACAATGCAGTAATTTATGGACTGACTTATGACTGTTTCAGACTGCCCTGACTCCATCTGTCTGCTTCTCTGGACCTTCTCTTTGTGACTCTCTGGCTACAAAACTTATGGAGGCAATAAATTCCATCCTTGAGATGTACTAGACAGGGTCTTTGTCCAAATTGGCACATTTAATGTGCTCAGAAATATCCTTGGGAACTGGAGCCAGCTGGCACAGAGCAGCCCATATTTATGATAGTAAATGTTTTATGCTAGGTGGCTGTTCTAAATGGCTGCTGGGGAGAAGTGCCCACAGACCCAATGCCCAAACTGGACCTGGTAGCTGTTGGGCAAAAGTTTTTGATGGCATAGGCCAAAACCACGCTGGGGAATGTGGTGACAGTGTGCTGTGACGGATGATCATGTTGCACATCCTGGGGATGCTCCAGGTCATACCTGCCTTCACTAATATAATTGTGGTCTGAATTTTAAAACCACTGTTGAGTTTTTGTGGGAGATCAGTTAGGTGTCCAGTTCTGCTGCATAAATGGCTTCTAAGCACAAGAGGGCAATATTGAGTTGTTGAAAGTTTCTGAAGTAGCAGGCATATGTTTTGTCTGGGAGATTATTTCTTCCTTGAATTCTATTTGAGCAGAAGTATTTCAGGCATATGTTATGGTGCCATGTGACATTAACTTCACACATAAACTTCATATAAATACTCAAAAGTCTAAATCTGTAATTATTGCAGGGCTCACCTGACCTCAATTTTCTGATTGTTCTATTAGTTTGCTAATGATTCATATAACCTACCATGCTGAAGTCTTATTTTTAGGTAGAAGAAGAACCACCAACTGGATATGTTCATCTAGAAAAATTTCTTCCAGTGATGACAAAAGTATTACTGGACAGAAGGTAATGTAAACTGGGTCTTTAGTTTACTTCATGGTTGATTCTGAATGAATTTATCTGCAGTAATTTTATTTAACTCGAAGGAATACAGATTTTTTTTTTTTAAATTGTTAGGTAGTGAGACTTCTAGTTCATAATTATATGTCTACATAAAATTATGTTATTATTTGTACCAATAGTACATCAGCTTATAATAATTGTGGTAACATCTAGCTATTGTATTTTTAACGTGAATCAGAATTACTTTGCTGTTTCAACTCTGAAAATATTTTATATACAAATAAGGTCACAGCCATTACTTTATCTGAGTTACAGTTGCTTGAGAAGCATGGTCTGTAAAAGTGTATTTTTAATAAGTTGTATAAATCAGCTTCACGTTCATGTCTCAAAGTGACTGCCAGGTACTGTTGAATATACACAACCAGCACTCTGCTGATCTAAAATATTTGCTGATCTACAAGTCTGGAAAAAGAGTGCTGTTCATTATTGAAAGGTACATACAAATGTTTGGATGTACGCAGGAACTTGTGCTATTTTGATATTTTGCACAAAAAGTAGTCTTAACTATAGGGAGTTTATCTCTTTAAAGGCAGTAACCAGGGGTTTAGTCTTGCCCAAAACTCAGAAGCTATTTCGTACATGGAGCTCTTTTGGTGTTCTACACATGAAATAGCTATGGGATTTCCCTCAAATGTCTCACAGCATCCTGCAGTATGGGGCACTCCCTGAGGCTGTGTTGAGTCCTTGTGCCTGTGCCTGGACAGGGACCAATCAATGATGTTTGGTTCCAGCACGCTGGCACGAGTGCGTTGCCTTCCCAGTCTTCTGCACTTCTGCACCTTTGCCTTCTCTGGCCTTCATGGCCTGTTTCTGGGTTAACACTGATGTTCAACCCTTCACAAAGCGATGCCTTGCTGCCCCAGGCTCTCTCCTCCTCCACCCCATTGACACAAACACACACACAAGAACACACATTTTTCCAGGCTAGCTCAGGCTTGTCGAGACTCACGTTTATCTTCTAATGCCGTGTCTATAGTTCACTTTATCCAAGGGCACTTGAGATCTGAATCATAAAGAACAATTTGGTTTTTAGATAGTAAAAGAGTGAAGTGAGTCTGGATGAAACAACCAAGCATTTTAAAATGAAAGCTGTGAAATCAGGTGCACTATCGGCACACACATACACCCAGTGCTGTGCTCTGTGGAACTGTTGCCTGTTGTCAGCTCAATAGACTGTCAAAGTCCCACTAGGTGATCTGTTGCTTAGCTACCAGCCTACCTGGACAAAACTTTGTTTTCTTGGTTTGGCAATTTTCTGTTCCCTGCATTTGCTATGTGGAGTGATTCAGCAACTATTGATTCCTAGTAACTCACTCAGCCTGCTCAGGCATGCAAAAGCAACTCATTTGGCTTCTTAGCACAAAGAGAATGAAACAGGAATACAATGAAGGACACGGGGTGAAGATATGGAAAGTTCCATAAAGTCAAACTGGACTTAAATGTTTAAGAGACAAACTAGGAAATAGGTTTTTCCTTTCTACTACTCATATTTTATTATTTCAGAATGGTACAGCAGCCTTACAAACTTAACTCTTCTCTGATTCAATGGTTTCAGCTACAGGCCTATTCCAGAAGATGTTCTTCTACATGCGTTTGAGGTCTGTAACTAAATATTCAGGTACCTAATTGCTGGGGGAAAAAGTAGCTGATGTAGTATGATGAAAACACAACAGTTTATCCCTTTTATTTAAAGGCTTTAGATGAGAATAAAAGTGGATACATTACTAAAGAGGATCTGGTGAAACATATGACTGAAGAAGGTAATATGATTTTTATAATATCACTGTTTATGTAAATAAACATTACATGTGTATATGGCACCTTGCAGTCCTAATTCTTGAAGCTGAAACTTGCAGGAATAGGTACACCATCTTCAGGCAATCCTGTTGCCTTCATGAGTGTGTATAGAGTGGAACATTTCCCTGGTGAATAATGCAGGGAATTAACATGTATCTGCCTTTTTGCAGATATTATAAGATCTTAAAGAGTCATAATCTAGTCTTGTGAATATTTTGTGATTCCGTGCACATTTTTGTGCTTCCTAAGGATGTGACTTCTTTTTTTTCCTCCCTCTAAAACCTCAGTTTAGATTTTGAAACGTTTCAGGCAATTCCAGTACTCATTCATTCCTGCATTATCTTGATCTTATTCTAGTGCCCTTTGCAAACAAAGATCCAAAGACCAGATTTAAGTTGCATATCATGTAATTTTCAATATCCCTTGAAGAGCCTGCTTTTCTTGCATGGCTGAGTCATGCCTGCCTGCCTCAAGTACAAAATGACAAGCATGCCTTGTGCAAGACTGGGTGTTCTGGAGCTTGTGAATTAAATGTGAATCAAAAGATCCAAGCCCTCTGTCTTCTTTTTTAAACTAGCTGGCTTGGCATGCAGGACTTCTGCATTTGCAGAAGTGAAGGAACTGGATTCTTTTTTCTGCACATAAACACGGAAAAAATATCCTTGCGGGAGAGAAATGGTGATTTGTAAGCCCTGAAAAGAATAATTACCAAGACAAAGTGTTACTTTCCTTTCTTTTTCAGGTGAACCGTTTACTGAGGAAGAAATGGAAGAGATGCTCTCCAGTGCTCTAGATCCAGAAACAAATGCAGTTCATTACAGAGACTACATTTCAATGATGATAGTAGATGAAACTGATCATCTTCCACAGTAGACTCTGAGGTGCCTTTTGGTAACAGCAATGCAGCTTAGCAGTTGGTTGAAATTCTGAGTATAACAAAACACAGTGTGTGACCTTGTGCTTATAATTAAATTCAAATCTGTGTAGTTATATTTCCTTAGATTCTGTCTATATATTTAAATCTATTCACACTTGGAAAAGGAGTTCTTGACAGAAATAGTATGTAAGATCTGGAAAAGAAATTATGGAATTTGGTTTGAAAAACAACAGGAAAAATAATGGAGTCCAGAAATGACTTTACAATTGCTGCTGCAAAAGTTATGGAAAAGTGAGACTGGGAAAACGGACGATAAGTAGGTGAGTATTTTAATACAACTTGAATAGTGAGGGCATGCTACTATGATAAAGCTTTTGTATTTAAATGCAATCCCTGTTTGTGTTTTAACAAATGACGCATTGATTGCTACATTTGAAATGATATTACAGGTGAATTAAATTTTCTGCAGTTTGTAGGTCTTACCAAATGCACTTGCGTTTTGTTCACCATAGGCAATTAAACTGGACCAGTTAGTCCCATTGTGTGTTACTTATCCACTGGCATACAGTGCTTCTATTTTAAACATGTAGTTAACCCTCAAACCATCACTAGATCACACTTTCAAACAAAATAATACTTGAGGACATTTCTGTTACTATATGCAACAAACAGACCTGTTTCACAATCAATTTGAAAATCAGGAGCTTGAATTGTTAAAAATTTAGGAACATAGGACTGGAATTTAATTTTCATAAATGGATGAAGAATCATCATTTGAAAGATGTTAGTGTAGAATACTTTTTCTCCAGTGCTTTTCCTGGAAGATGGCTGCAGACCTCACTGCTGCTCTTTAGCATTTTCTTGATTGTTACTGTACTGTTGTCCTTTAACATGACTTTCACTTCTTTCCCCTTGAGTTCCTTCTGTGTACTTTGTGTTCTAACAACTGATGAGCATTTGCTGCAGAAGTTCTTAGCTTGTTGGAGAAGATCTGTGGTCTGGTCCCCTAGGGCAGCATCTTGTGCTTTGTGCTCCACACCTTCTGCCCCATTTCTGTTCTTCTAATTTGTCATGTTTATCACTCCTGCATATACTCTGTATCCCAATTCTGTGTCATCAGACTTCATCAGCTGATAAAAACTGGGGGAAACTGACACACAGACAAACATCTTCTCCCCTTTATATTCTTCTTGTGGCAGAGCTGAGATCTCTAACACAGCTGGCATGAATACAAGTTTCATTCATATTCTGCAGTCTGGGAGCCACTGTCAGCCTCATCTTAGATGTCAGCAGAAAGATGCTCGTTTCAGGATTTCAGGAAATGATTTTGTAGCTCACAGTGCTGCAGAGAGCACAATTTGTGTATGGTGGTGCTACCCCAGAGGCCACCTCAACTACAGCTGCATCAAATCAGAATGCCCATGTGCAACACAGTTACAATGGAGTGTTCATTTTTTGTCTTTTGTTCTATCCTTGTGAGCTAGAAACTCAGGGTTCTCAGACATGAGCAAGAGAGCTGCTATGCTTCATAAGGAAGAAATTAGCTTAATTCAGTGTGGTGATGGCAGTCAGAAAGAGAATCTTTAAATTCTCTTTTTATTTCTGTATCCTGAGTTGTATTCCACTGACCTCTTCTTAAACAGTATGACAGCAGAGTGTTAATACAAGTAAACATTTGCCTAGATCTTAGCTTTATTTCCTTAGTGGGAATCACTATGGCACTATGCAATACACTCTTGTTAATACATTTACTATGTATTTCATTTCTTTCTTAGTAAGAATGAAAAACAAAGGTAATCACAGGGTTATAATGTGTGAAGATTTTTGAAGATAAAAGAGCAGCAAAGATCCATTAAAAAAATTAGTCTTTGTTAATCTCTCTTTGGAAGCTGCAGTTATTTTCCCTAGGTGAATCCTTCTTCCATTTGATACATGTTGTTTTGTACTAGATCTCTAACACAGCTGGCATGAATACAAGTTTCATTCATATTCTGCAGTCTGGGAGCCACTGTCAGCCTCATCTTAGATGTCAGCAGAAAGATGCTCATTTCAGGAAATGATTTTTGTAGCTCACAGTGCTGCAGAGAGCACAATTTGTGTATGGTGGTGCTACCCCAGAGGCCACCTCAACTACAGCTGCATCAAATCAGAATGCCCATGTGCAACACAGTTACAATTCCTAGCAAAGACAGGATCCTAACATACCTCCTTTGATGATATATATGTATCTTTTATCATACAATCTCAAATGCAAAGGAAGTGGGTACTCCTCTGGTCTTTTTGAAGGGTATTACTCCTCCAAAAAGATAATGTGTGAGTACAGCAAATAGAAGCAAATTGCAGTCTTGACTTTGAGCGTAAGCAACCAAATTCAGTAACCTGCAGTTTCCAAACTGTAGATGAAGAAAGGGTCCAAAAACAGTCTCAATCTCTGTAAGGTCCTAAGAGCAGAGCACTTCCTGTCAGCTAGGATCACCTAGCCTGATTGACTTGTAGAGGAGCTGCCCCATGGGTTCCCTGGAGAGTAGCCAATTAGTATTAATTCTTCCATTGCACTTGTCTTTGATGCTGTCCCAGCCCATGCTGTGCCCAGCTGCTCCCCCTAGTAATGCTGGGCTGCCTGAAAGCCCCACGTTGGACTCTCTGTGCATCCTGGGGATGAGCAGGTTCCTGTACCCTAGGGACTGCTGGTCAGAGAGAGGCTTAGGGAACCATTTTGCTCTCTCTAAATGAACAATTTGTTTTTAAATTTTAAATTCAGGGAGAGAAATTCATCCTCATCTTTGAGGTAGACAAATGTAACTTCATGCTGCTGAGTGGTTGTGAGCTGTCTCTTGCTACACGTCTGCCTGTTTGTGCTGGCTGTTTTCCCTCTTCCCTCAAGATCAGGAACCAGGATAGAGGAGTGGATTGTGCCAGGAAGCCTCTAGGGAGAAACCAGCCTAGCACCTGGACTAGATCCACAGAAGGAAGTAGTAGAGCCAAAGCTTTGCAGCAACTGAGGAAGTCAGAGGCTTTTTGACCTAATTGTGAGAGGGAGGGGGAACTCATTGGATATGGAAAAGAGGAAAAAAGAAGTAGAGAAGAGCAAGAAATCAAAGAAGCAAATGCTGGAAACCATCTACAAATATAACTGAATCAGCAGGCTGTTTACACCACTGCTGCAAGTTACAAACTGGACAGGACCCTGCTTGTTCAAAACATGAAGTAGGTTCAGCTGTGTCAGAGCAGATCTTGCATATAGGGTGACCTTCTCCCTAGTCTTACTGATAGTGCAGAGGAACTCTTCTAGAAGTTGAACTGATAGTTTGGAGTCCAGTTGCTTGTATTCTGGGTAGTATATTGTTTCTCATGTTTCCATCGTCAGCTTCATAGCTGTTTGTTTGCAGTGCTTTTTGTCTGCTTGCAGCAGAGGGCTTCAACATTCTCTCACTGTAATATATACCAGGATGGTATTTGGAGTTAGGGACTGAGAGATGCAGCAAGTAGCTGTTGTGGAAGGGGAAGCATGTTTTCGGGCATCTGGGTCTGGTAGGGGAGAAGATGAGAGCAAGGGACAGAGAAAGCTTTTTTACTCTGAGGACAGACAGGTAGTGGAACAAGCTGCCCAGGGAGGTTACGTAGTCTCTATCTGTGGATGTTTTTAAGATTGAAAAGTACAAAGCCCTGAGCACCCCAGTCTGATTGCAGAGCTGACCCTGCGTTGAACAGGGGTTGGACAAGGGACCTCGTGAACTCCCTTCCAACCTGAATTGTGACACGATCTTATAATCTGTGGAGCCATTTGTCAGATCCTTCTAATTAAATATGGGTTGTTGTCATGGATGAGTCCCTTCTGAGAGGAGTAGAGAGCCTGATATGCTGACCAATCCTGACCCATGGGGAGATCTGCTGCCTTTTGCTCTCCTTCACACAGCTAATGCCTTACTGCTTGTCTGGCAACAATTATTAAGACAGTATCAGCTGCTGATCTCAGGGTGTCATTTATGACTGGATTTGTTGCCCCTGAAATCAACACTGGCAAAACTTGTCAATAGTAAGGAGAAGGACTGAGGCGTTTAGTTTCAGGGCAAGCTTGGCTGGGAATGCTGGAGGCCAGCCAGGGCTGGGGCTGGAAAGGGGAAGCTGTGATTTTTTTTTTAAGTTCTGTAACATACTGTTACCATTGTGTAAGTGTCTCAATAGTAAAGCATCAACTGTGATTGTGCCCAATACCTCCAAGAGATATTGGGTAGGTCATATAATCACTCCCTAGCTGAACTTTCCATCTATAAAGCCAGAGTAATTACGGAGGACACGGAATACCTATTTTATCTACCTGAACTGTCAACTTTTTGTATCACTAACTCTGATGTTTGTGCAATGTCTGTTACTGTGATGTTCTGATCAGAATCAGTGCCTACAAACCTCTCTGCCATATCACAAAGTTCTCAGCCTTCAGGCCTTTTGTTTCAGACTGTACACTCGGGTCACAACTTTTAAACAGGTCAGTGTGCAGCAAGTATGTTTGTTTTCATTGAACACAGCTCTGTTTCATAGTGCCTCATGCTGTGATAGGCTTGATTGTAAAAGTAACTGTTGAAACATTTGGTCTTACTGTTGGAGGAGTTTTGGGCAACATCAGTATGAGATATGGGAACTAGTGATTTAAAAGCTAAAGAAAGATGTAAGTTGAAACAAAGCAGATTCTCCTGTTTAACTCATCTAGAATCGTGGGGCTATTATTTGGCTTAATATAGTTCTGGAAGCCAAGAAAATGTTATTCATCATGCTTAAAAGATTGATCACAGCATTTATATCCTGAGGCCTGAATCCTGAAGTCCTTATTCAGACAGAACTCCCTTTGATTTCAAAGGGAGTTCTGTCTGACGAAGAGCTTCAGAAATAGTGATGTACTGGCTCACAAGGCACTGTAAAACCCTTTTAGTCTCTGTAAAAGAAGTCTCATCTGTGGAAGATCTAACAGATATACGATCAGCATGCAAGTTGTATCACTGAAATGACCATAAAACCATGGGAGTGGGTAGTTAATTCTTGTCTGTATTAATGTAAACAAAATTCAGCAAGTCAGGAGACAGAACTTTCCCATGTTTTTCAGACTACAAAAGGTCAAAT